CTTCCCACCAAAGTGGTAGTTATTTATCCAAAATAGTAGTTATTTATCTACTCGCATTTGCATACTTTTGAACTGCTAGGTTGGCAGGAGCCAAGTCAAGTAACCGTCACACAGTGCTCAGGTCTCAAATCCGAGCTATCAGCTTTCCAGCTGAGAAGCTCAGTGTCTGTTCTGTCCCCGTCTCACACATGCACACAAACAGTCAGCCAGGAGTTAATAAAACTAGCAGTCAGGAATTTCTTTGAGATAACAGCATTGGCAGCAACCCAGTAGCTGCTTGCCAAAAACTTTACTCACAAAGGGAGGTTTTCCTCCTCCATCAGAAAAACCAAAATAAGTTCACAAAGCCAAAGAATTGTCAAGTCCAGTCCATAATAAATCCAAGGAAGGCATATAACGAAGTTCCAGAAACGCAGTATGACTTGCTACCTGTTCAGTTTTGTCTGTCACAAAGCCTGAATGGCCACCACACCCCCTTTTATCCCCTGTAGGGTGTGGTCCAGTGACTCAGCTTAATCTCTGGCATGCCTCCTTCTCTGCTGCGGGCGCTTGTCTTTCCGACGCTGTCGGGGATCCAGCCAAGACTTATCTCCATCGCTGTCTAACTGCGGCTGCTTGGAAGTGCCTCGTTCCTGGCCTATCTCTTCTCCTTCGGAAGACACCTGAGGCATTGCCAGAGAGGAGGGTCCTGGAGAGGGAGGCCTTGCCAATTCCTCTCCTTCACTTTCGGAGTCTTCTCCCTCCGATAAGACGGGCTCGGGGGTCGAAGTCACAACAGTGTCTTTAAACTGCTGAGCCATCATGCCTCCTAGAGAGTTCTGGTAGTCCGTGCATTGTCTGTTCCCTGACCTGGCCTACCTCAAGAGCTGACAGTAGGCTAGCATGACAAATAGAAGTAGGCAGATCCCAATTCCTTACTACATCATCAATCACATTGTGGATGAAGCATGATAGATTGTGTTGACAACAAAAACTGCATGAGACAATATTAAAAATGGTATTTTTAAAAATGGTATAGTTGAAAACTTTAATCTGGCTCAGTTGTGGACTGGAGATGAGATAATAACAATTTAATGTAGACGTGTCATATTAAAATATTGAATTCAGGCAATGGTTTGGGTGGCAACTGGGGGACCTGAAGACAAGCACGAGTTGAATTCAATAGGCTGAGCCCAGCCATCAAAAAGGATATGCCAAGAAATTTATTTTCTTTTCTATTTCTTAAAAGCAAAGACTGGAACCAGAGAACCTCAGTATAAAATATTTACCCAAAAGGAAGATGAGGTTTTTTTTCCTTCAAAAAACTATTTGTGATTTGGGAAAAAAGGGTAATCTTACCTTAAAACAGAACAAAAAGAAAAAGGGTAAGAACAGAACTATTAAAAATTAACACAAGGTACAAATGATAGTAGATATTACAAAACCTGAATACTTAAGATAATATTCCTGCCCCTAACAATCCTGCCCCTAACAATAAGCCACAGTCCTTCCAAAGACATTCAATGGATTCACCTTAGCCACTGTTTTTTCTACTTTCCACTTTTCCAAACAAAGCCATTTTGTCAAGTTATTATTTGCTTGCAGCACATGTCCAGTGTATATGAATTTCCATTTGCTGATCATTATCTCAAGGGAGCAGTCAGCCAGCCTTTATTTGGTCCAGGCTGATTGGTTGTTCTTGCAGTCCATGGTAGTCTTGGTGAGTGTCTCCAAATCCATAATCTAAAGACATCTATCTTCTTTCTTCCATTCTTTTTCAATGTTCATCTTTTACAACCAGATGGTACCATTGGAAAAATCAGTACTTTAAACACTGTCTTTGTCGCCAATTAAACATATTATCTTGTCTGTCATTGCATTCCTAAAGGAATTTTTTTCTTTCCTTTTTTAACACTGTCCATTTTTTAACATTCTTGACTCGAGAAAATAAAATTGTCTAGCATCTTCAAAATAAAATTGTCTAGCATCTTCATTTCCTCACTGTCAACTGTGAATTGACTAAGCTTGCTGATTGACATTACATTTGTCACTTTAATTTTTAACATTAATCTCAGTGTTTCACTTTTCATTGTTTACATAATGAGCTCCTCTAATTCTTCTTTATTTTCAGATAACAAGGTGATGTCATTTATGTATTGCCAATAATTATATTTTTGACCTCTAATTTTGATTCAAGTTGTCACCTCTTCCAAACTAGTGATTCTTATGTTTCCTGTATTAAGGTAACCAGATGCGGGAACAATACGCATCCTTCTTTGTTTGAACCACTTATTTTTTTAATCCTGTTTTCTTATATAGTACTTTATCATTTTTTGTGAGTGAAATTCCACATTTTGTTTTAATATACCAGTAGGGCTCTACAAATTGACTACACGCGTGCCCTCAGATACCTCTTAATTTAACTCAAATATTTTTACATTAGTAGTATATTCCACTATCTGCCCCTAGAAGTGTCTTAGCTGAATGGATTGGATTTCTCCACTTGTTTCTTTTATATATCCATCTTGATTCTAATGTTGTCCTTTAGTAATATTCATGTGTAGAGTTTGTCTACACTGTCTGAAATGTTTACTGAGAATAAAGAATAATCTTAATTAAATTCTAATGATTTACTGCCTGCATTGTTGCATTGGCTCTCTCCAAATGTTTATGTGACTAAAAATTCTTCTATTATTCCAAGATCTGCATTTAATTATCTATTATAATACAGTATCGTTTCTTAGTGCTGTATTTAGTATCTTTTGCAATTGTGTAAAAATTTTATTAACTGTATTTCCACGAATTCTATTGGGTTATAGCATATGCTAGAAAGCCAGCTTGGTGTAGTGTTTAAGGCATAAGGCTAGGAACCAGGAGACATGAATTCTAATTCTACCATAAGCACAAAGCCAATTGATTGATCTTGGACCACTCACTCCCCTCAGCCCTAGGAAATTGGCAATGGAAAACCATTACTGAAAAACCTTGCCAAGAAAATTGCAGAGACTCATCCATGCAGTCATCCAGAGTAAAAAAAAACTGACTTGAAGGAGTCCAATTTTTTTTTAGAAAAGGACATATTTAACAATGTATTATTGCCTCCCTATTCCTTCATATGGATATAATTTTTTATCATATAATTATCTACTTCTTACCGCTGTGTGTGCACCCTTGCTAATTTTTTATTTACTCATTGTGTTTCTATACTAACGGATTCAATAAAAAGTCTCCTAGTACTGGTTCACAATATAAAGACCAATAAAAACGCAAGCATCCCTAAAATGATGGCCACTGATTTCCCAAACAACTGTGGGACATCTCTGTCTTTCACAGATTTCACAAAGCTAACAATAGGTATCCAAATGTAACTTAAAGATCTTATTTGTTTCAAAGTCTGCCTGACTTTACAAAAGCTTCTTAATAACTTCTCAAATTGTTCCTAAGCATTACAAACCATATATTCCTTCTCAGATTTCATTTTATTGTTTAGCATTTAAGGAACTGCTAATCCATATAAAACACAATTTCTAGTAACTTAATAAATTAAGTGGAAGAATTGTAACTGTAATGCAATGTTTTTTTAAATTTTATTTTATTGCCTCAAGCAAGGAAAATATTATCTGTAGAATATCTTCCTTCCTTCCATCCATCCATCCTTCCCTCCCCCCCTCCTCCTTTCTCTTCCTTCCTTCTCTCCCTCCCTTCCAGACTCAAGTCTTCCAAAAGAGACTTGCAAGGTTGGTAGATCTCTCTCTCTACCTACAGAAAAAGATACCCAAATTATCTTATTTTTCTTGGCATGTTCTCCCAGAGACCACAAGACTGCATCCTTGGTCTAAGGTTTCCTCTAGGCAGGAGAACAGAAGAGAAAGAAGTCAAAGCAAGATTAGATATTTACTGAATTATACAAAAAGAACAGACACTAACCTCTATCTGTGATCTCATTGCTCTGGACATACAAAATATTTCAGCCCTGTTTATCTAGGTAACAGTTCTTACAGATTTCCATCAAGGTCATCTTATATACTCTCTAGATTACTTATGGATTCTAGGCCACATCAGCAGTAGTGAAGCTGGTATTCAGAGCTGATGTGAGGATTTCTTAGTGTGGAGTTCTCCATCATCATGATGCCAGGTAAATGTTATCTGCTTTCTGTGTTTTAACAGGCATTCCAGCAGCTGCCTACTAAATGGTTTGACATCTGGTGGCTTCATGGGCATACCAATGAAAGGGGAGGGGGAAGGGCTCTTTAGTTTCTAATCTAGCCTTGGGATTTGATGATAGTCCCCATTCAAATATCTACCTAGTCCAATCTTGCCCAATTTCTTAAATACCTTTCTGACTTGCCAGCTATTTTGAACCCAGGAGTATCAAGGATGCCGTATTTCCACATTCTTCCTATATTCTATGGATAACCATGCTTGGGAAGAAAAATCTGCATATTGGAACAAACTCAAAACAAAAAAACCCCACTCCAGTTTCTGAAATGAATTGTTATTGCTGCTGAAGGAGTAGTGGGGCAGTTACAGCAGGCCATTAATTAAAAGGCAATATTTGGAAGCCATGCAGAGCTCAAGCTGTCCCTCCCCACATTTTAACAGCTGTAGGTTAACAACAAACTCTTCTTTTCCAAGCAGGAAGATGCACCTGTTGATTTCCCACCCACCGAGTCAGAGGGAGGCGCGGGAAGAGCCCGGCCAACAAAAAAGCGTCCCTGCTGCCTTTTTGCCTTCAAAGTTGAAATGCATTTCAGTTCCCAGCATCTCCCCACCCCCACCCCCACCCAAAACTCGACCGCCCGAGGAATGAAATGTCCCACTAGGAGCCCCTGCTCCCCTCTGCGCGGGGTCAGTGGGGTTTTTTCCTAAAAGTCAACGCGATTCAAGGTGGGGGGGGGAAGAAACCAGCTTGCTGAGGGGCTAATGGGTGTTGGCAACACCGCCTCCTTCCCGTCCTCCCTCCCTTCCTCTCTCGGGCACTCCGAGGCTTTATCAGAGGCCTACAACCCCAGCCTCAAGGCGGGCGGCGGGAGGGGAGAGAAGTTCCAGAGGCGGGCACTGCACGCGTGTCGCCAAACTCGCCTCGCACCTCCGCCACTTGCTTGGCGGCGAGACGCTCCGTTCGGTTTCAGGCGGCACCTGCTGCTAATGCTGCTGCTGCAGCGGCCAAGGGAGGGCCGGCTTCAGTATTTCCTGTGGAAATCCCGGAGCATTCAGCTCCTCCTCTCGATTCCTCCCCCACCCCCGCGCGTGTTTGCGGGTTGGGGATTGAGGAAGGGAGGAAGGAGCAGAGCGCGTTGGCTGTTGTCGCTTCTGCCTTCTGCGTCTGACCGCCCCCCCTCCTCCTCCTCCTCCTCCCCGACCTCCTTGTCGCTTTCTGCCGCTCGGCTGTGGCGTCCCGGCGCGGCCACCCACCTACCCACCCTCCGGCCTCCAGGAGCTGCGTTCTTCCGAGCCGGCCGAGCTTTCTCCCCCACACCCCCTTTGCGTCTCCGGAGGGGAGGGAAAAAAAAAGCAAGGGAGTCTCCGGGCTCCCGCAGCGCTTCCCCGAAATGGGCAGTTTGCTGAGCGGAGTCAGCTTCAAGGAGCCCACCACGGTGGAGGACTGTGACTCGACCTGGGAGACGGATTCGGAGCCGGAGCCGGAGCTGCAGGACCCCGGTGGGGAAGAAGAAGGACCGCCGTTGGAGCGGGCGGGCGGTGGCAGCGACGGCGACGACCCAGCGGCTGACCGGCAGCAGCAACAGCAGCAGCAGCCAGAAGAACCGCTCCCTGCGGCAGGCGGCCGGCCGGAAGCCGCCGAGAAGCGCGAAGGGGCTGCCGAGGAAGAGGAGGAGGAGCAGGTGGTGGCGGTGGAGAAGGAGGAGGAAAAGGAAGGAGGAGACGGGGTGGCCGAAGAAGACGAAACCGAGGGCAGGGAGCAGGGAGAGAGCGAAGCCCCCGGGCCCGAACAGGTAACCCGGGACCCCTTGCAAACTTCTGCCGGGGAGGTTGGCGGGCTGAGGGGGGCGCGCTGGAGCTCTTCCTTGGGCGCCTTTTGGACGGGACCGTCGGCGCTCACCTTGGCAGCGCTGTGCTCTCTTCCAAGGTTGAGCATCGCTTTTCCTGGAACGGGCGGTGCGGATGGAGGCTCGTGGAAGCCAAGGTTACAAAAGCGACCCCGAGCCATTTCTGGCTCCTTTTCCCCTTCGCCCCCTCCTTTTTTCCCCTTCGCTGCCTCCCTCCGCAACCCTTTTTAAATATTTGCATGCTTTGGTGACTTGGAAGCTAGGCGTGCCTACGGCATTCCCCCCTCCCCACCCCCCGTGTTAGAAAACGGGCTCGACGGGTAGGCGAGGCGGAAGAAAATATCGGGAGCGCGGGGTTAGTTTGTCATCTCTTGCCCCAGCTTGGTCATTCCAAGTCTGGGTTTGGTTTTCCTTTCCTGTTGCGCATGGTTGTGGAAAGAGGAGCTGTGTGGAGCGGGGTTGGGTTGGGGTTTGTTGCATTCCTCCTTAGCAGAATGAACAAGCCGGCCTGGTGGTGTCTCTTGAAAAGATTGTGTGATGATTGTTAACATTAAGAGTCAGAAGGCATGCCTAATCCAAGGTGCTTTCCCTCTGCAACCTCTGCTTCAGAGAATGGTGTGAAGGCAAAATGCAGTTTCAGAACTAGATTTGCTTGAGGGTCTCATTGAGAGCCACCATTTCTAGGCTTTTGCCTATCCCACTTGAGTTTCACTGTCTAGAACTAAAATCACTTAATAGAAGAGGCTTCAAGAGATACTGCTGTTCCCTCCTTCTGCTTTTATCAAATTCTATGATGGTTTCTTTTCTTTAGAAAAAAAAAAAACTTAGAATGGATGTATTTTTATTCTCTTCTGGGAAACTCTCTAGCGAGAGGTCAGCTTTCAATACTGTTTTCCATTCACAATCTTAATATGTTAAAAGAAAAAATAATTTTGACTATTTTGACTATTTGAATATAGTACTGTATGCTACCATAGAATGACTCCTGTAAAAGTATAGGAGTTAAGACACAGGGGCAAATTTCAGAGAGCTTTACATTCAAGATTCTCACACACACACACACACACACAAAATTCAAGATTCTCATATGTGTGGTGTGTGTGTGTATTCTGTTTGCATATTGAAATCATCTGCCTGGATTTGTTTTCTGAAATCATTCCAGTAAGTTCTTTGCAGTGCAATCCTATATATATCCCAACAGGAAGTCCCGCTACATTTAATGGACATACACATAAATGATGTCTTTTGACTAGAGATATACGGTATAAGTTTAATTAAAACATTTATGAAATTTAGCAAAGGGCAAAATATATAGTAATAAATCTGTATTATTTTGTGTGTTGATAGAATTCAGAGTACCATTTTCTCTTAAAATATGGAAAGAAAACATTCTATAAAGGCAATACTGTAAACTTTTCACTGTTTTTATTTAATAATTATTTTCCAGAAGTTCTATCTTCTCTATACATCTACTTTGGTTTTTGTTTTATTAAACTTTAAAATTATAATACATAGTTTTCAAACTATAATATAATTTCTAAATTTGAATTTTTGGTGTAAGAAAATGTAATTTTGAAAATATAACTTCTACACTGAATTATTTTGCAACTACTTTTCTTAGCTCTCCTTCACAACATCAGTGTATTTAAGTTTCTGCGTCCTTTTTTTTTAAACATTATAGATGCTTTAAATAGTTCACCTTTTGATCATGGGTAGAAAGGCAGGATATACATGTATATCAACCTACACAGTTGCTATTGAGAAAACTTCATAGATGAGTCAACAAAGTCTTCAAGATTTGAACTCAACTTGCATTTGATTTGAGTTAATCTACAAATAATCTGTAGAACTCTATTTGCATTAGGCTCAAGGACTTTGGGATTATTCAGGCAAAACTTAGTCTGGCATTATAATTTTGTTACCTCTCTCCTGGCACACACTTGTATTTCAGTAATCATTTTAAATCCATTTGCATAATGTTAATGGTCCTAAAATCATATTGTTGTAAACCTCAATCATTTATTTCATTTACCACATACTAGTTTGTAAGGGGCAGGATGCTAGTAGAAACCTGGCCACTGAAAATAACCACTGCCCAGAGATTCTGAGAAAATAAAACACAGTTTATAGCTAAACATTGGCATTACCTATGTCTTTAGTAATAGCTATATATTCCTTAAAAGATACATCCTCAAGAAAGAGCTAAACACATACATAAAAGTCTTCATTCCAAGGTGTTTGAGATAGACAGATAGATCATTAGTTATTTTAATTCAATGTTGCCCAACACTAGATAATGAGAAAAATAATTAGTGTTACGTTAATTATAAAGGAAGACTAATAAAACTGTTACAGAAATAGTAAGAATGTAATGCAATACAATACACAATACATTAACAATGCAGTTGTATTCGTTTGCCTGGGTATCTTCTTATGTAAGTTGGGTAAAGTTCCTGACTAGATGAATATTGTTGAAATGCAGAGATGCAAATCTCTCAGCTTTATTCTGGATCTCTGGGAGGCTCCAATCTTTAAAAATGATGGATAATGATTAAAGTGCTTTATCTAATACAATGTGGTTAAGAATAGAAGTATGACTAATGAAAAGAAGAGCCACTAAAACAGAATGGATGCCAGCCTGTGTGCACTTACGTGGGAGTAAGCCTTCTTGAAAACAATGTGACTGATTTCTGAATAGATATACTGTATGTAGGATTGCACTGTAAGAGTGCTTATTATTTCCTGATCTGCAGCTCTGAACCAAACCCCAGCTGAAGTCTATGTGAATGTTACTAACATCAGAAAACATCAACCTTGATGTTGCATATTCTTTCTTGAACATAAATAGTTCTTTTTATCATTTAAAGTCTTCATTCAAGTGGATTTAATATTTACAAATATTTCAAATATTTATTGGATTAGTGTCAGTTTAAGTCACCAGACAAACTTGACTTGCACACACACACATGCACATCTGATTTAATTAATGTCTTGAAGCCATCAGAATAGCTAATATAGGTAGTCCTTGATTTATGACTGCAATTGAGCCCAAAATTTCTATGGCTAAGCATGACAGTTAAAAGAGTTTTGCCCCATTTTATGACCTTTCTTGCCACAGTTGTTAAGTGAATCACTGCAGCTAAGTTAGTGACACAATTGTTAAGTGAATCTGGCTTCCCCATTGACTTTGCCTGTCAGAAGGTTGCAGAACAAAGAACATGACCCTGGGACACCACAATTTATGAACCAGTTACCAAGTGTCTGGATTTTGGTCATCTAACTACAGTTATGCTGCAACAGTCGTAAGTGTGAAGAATGGTCATAAGTCACTTTTTTCAGTGCCATAGTAACTTCAAATGGTCACTAAAGAAATGGTTGTAAGTTAAGGACAGTGGTAGGTTGCCCCCGGTTCACACCGGTTCTATAGAACCAGCAGTAAAACTGGCGGGAGGCTCCGTCCACCAACCCCGTCATCAAAATGCTTCTGCGCATGTGCAGAAAAGCACGAGCGTGAGCAAAGCAAGTGCATGCGCACGGCCCCATTGCAAACCGGTAGTAAAGGTAGGTAGAACCCACCCATGGTTGAGGACTACCTGTAGTTTAGGAAACCAAATTTGATTGTGTCATCATCAGTCCCACATGCTCAGTATGAAAGATAGGCAAAGATATGGATTCTGTCACTAGAACATTTATGGTACATTATTTTGTTTAGGGATCTTTTCTTCTTGCTAGATAAAATATAGGCAACATCATTCTTGTTAAGAAGAAAAGTTACTTCAAACCAAATTCCACTGGCAAGTTCACAGCCACATCAATGTAATTTTCTTGGCAACTGTACATAATTTGGTTCCCATTGGTTTTTTTCTGGGATAGGTTTTTAATTTTTGCAATCTAGCCTACAACCTTGCTACTTTTTAGTTGTCTCCTGATCAATTCTGACTATATCAGCTGAGTCCAGGAGATTGCAGTGGCATCAAATATTTAAGCAGGTTCTCAAAAATACCAAAAAAACACCTATTTTTAAAGTGTTATTCTATAGCAGGGATGCCTTCATTTCATTGAGGGCTGCATCAGGGTTGTGTTTGACTTGGGGGCCAGGGTGGGCGTTGCCAAGGTGGGCGTGGCCAGCTCAACGTCATGTGTCAGGGGCGCCTGTGGTGGCCTGAGTGCTCTGCCAGCAAAAACGGGCTCCCAAACTCTGTTTTCACTGGCAGAAGCATCACAGGCCGGTCCTTCGCTGTTTCCAGGGCGGTCCCACAGGCCAGATCTAAGTACCCCATGAGTCCGATCCGGCCCCGGGCCTTGAATTTGACACCCCTGTTTTATAGATACTGTAAAGAAAATATTTGGTGATCCCAAGCACGTGATTACAAAAATTGATATGGAGTTAGATGATTGTGTGTGTCTGTGTATGTGTGTGTTAATAGAATAGGAAATGAACAGTGCAAAAATTTTGAACATTTGAATTGGTTTGGAATTGCTATAGTTAATGTTTTGGTCCAGTGTCTCAGTCTTACACTCAAAACGTACTGTACATGATAAAACAAGGTCCCCAGTATAATAAGGAAATGAAATGCTCCTTTGTGAACTACCTGTTCACAATAAAACTACTTCTACCTGTTGTTTTATGTTTTATGTGACAGTTTATTCAAGTTAGCTTTGAGTAGGGGAACAGTTGCACCGAGGTATATTGCAGTTCTGTGTTTCAAGGTTCAGGCATTAGATTTCTCTCTAAAACTGCTTTCACCCTCCTCCAGTAATGAGTGTGTGTTTCAAGCTTTGACTTGTAATATTCAATTTTACACTGCTATTTTAAAGTGTATTGTGTTGAATTTTGTGAAGTTTTCTCCCATGGAAGCCTGTCTCCTTTAGTGTGCAGAAAAAAGGTTTAGAAGTTATTTTCATCGTAGTTCTCTGCATGTGAACAGTTCCAACACTTTTGAAGTATTGCTCAGACTATGAGGCATGATTATTAGTGTCTGCTGATATGGCACATGGTGACATTCCAAAGATTGCTCTGAGATTTCACAGCCAATTCTATATATTTGAATATTGTTTTACAGAAGTCTAGCTGTTCTCTAGCCATTGCCTGGCACAAAAAACTCTCTTATCTCCTACTGATCTTAACTTTATCTGTTTTTTAAACTGAGATACAGTTTTGCAAACTTAGCTTTTTAGTTAAATTTATTCCAATACGACAGGGGTGTCAAACTCACAGTGTCACGTTGTTGTCATGTGTCGTGTTGTGACTTTTTCCCCCATCGCTAAACCAGGGGTGGGCGTGGCCAGCACAGGATGCATCCAGCTCACAGGCCATGAGTTTGATATCCCTGCAGTTACGATGTAACTGCACAATATGATTTCTTCTCCTGAACTCTTTGTAGATCACCTCATACTTTCTGAGATCCATTCTGAAGGATCGCCAAACCTCCAGAACAAAGAAAGAGTAGCTGCTCTATTGACACAAACCAAACATCATCAGAAAAAAAAAATTGAATCTTTCATCTGCGGTGAGATAGGCAGCATACATATTAAATAAATAAATATCACATCCTATTTTATAAGTTATTATTAATGTATGATTTCTCCATGGATAATAATTGTTTTCAGTTGCAGCTATTGGTTCATTTAGTCCTCAACTTACGACCACAATTGAGTCTAAACTTTATGTTGCTAAGTGAGGCAAGTGTGGTTAAAAGAGTTTTGCCCTATTTTACAACCTTCCTTGCCAAAATTGTTAAGTGAATCACTGCAGTTGTTAGGTTAGCAACACAGATGTTAAGTGAATCTGGCTTCCCCATTGACTTTGCTTGTCAGAAGGTCGCAAAAGGAGACCCCGGAACACCACAACTGCCATAAATATGAGTTGGTTTCCAAGCATCTGAATTTTGATCATGTGACCATGGGGATGCTGGAACGGTGGGAAAATAAGTCACTTTTTTCAGTGCCATTGTAACTCTGAAAGGTAATTAAGTGAACTGTTATAAGTCGAGGACAACCTGTATTCCATTTGATAGCATCAGTTCTGTCATATTTCCATGTTATGAGGTACTTAGAGTATCTAGAATACCTTAGTTATGGGAAGGTATTGAATGACACCATTTGGACTCACACAGATCACAAAGCTCCTTTAAGTTGATGTAAATTGTAGCATTTGACTATCCATGAACAATTACTTTAGTTAGCTTTACTATGCTGCTTCAGGACCAGAAATGGTCACTTCATTCATTCAGTCAGTCAGTCAGTCAGTCATTTTGTCATTCTTTTTGTCATTCTTTTTGTCATTCGTTCAATTTCTATAGTTGCTCACCTCAGTCAGTGTCTTAGTTAGCTTTACTATGCTGCTTCAGGACCGGAAATGGTCACTTCATTCATTCATTCAGTCAGTCAGTCAGTCAGTCAGTCATTCTGTCATTTTTTCTGTCGTTCACTCAGTTGATCAATTTCTACAACTGCTCACCTCAGTCAATGTCTCTGGATGGCTTACAATTCAAAAAAATATATTACCATTAAATACTAAAAACATTTTAAAACAATAAAACAACATAAAATAAAATCCAAAATAAATATACATAGCAGCCAAGATATTTGACCAGTTAGCAATAAAGCTAGGAAACAGAGGGGCCCTTGATATATTCAGCACCTCAGGCTCAGGAACATAGGCAGGTTATTAGAAACTTACGAAAGGCTGACAAGGTTGGGGCCATTCTAATCTCTAAAGGAAGGATGTTTCATAGAACAGGGACCACTGTCGAAAAAACTCATCTTCTGGTCCCTGCAGCCCTTTGGCTAATGGGATCTGCAGCATGCCCATTCCAATAGATCGAGTTGGATGGGTAGAGACTTTTGGAAAAAGGTGTTCCCTTGGGTAACCCCATTAAAATCCCCCCATCCCAATTGAAGAAAAAATATTAGTAACTAGCAGATTATAGAGAAGAATTCTAAGTATCTTAATATTCTAGAAAAAGAGTTGAGACAAAAAAGAACTTTATCAAATATTTTCAAAACTCCAAACTGGAGCTAAGACCATAAGAATGTTACATAATTCTTACATGTTTTTTAATTTTGCTAATGAAGAACTATGTCATGTTAATTTGTAATACAGAATGGTTTCATTCTTTTAATTATAGTTGGTTGGTGATTACTCAAAAATTGGTGCTTATTTATATATCATAGTTGTTCCGACTTAATCATCACAGGCGTTTACAGGACTGCCTGCAAAGTCACAGTTATATGAAAATTATATGACAGTGTATATGACTATATGTGATAGTTCCTACATTAATTAGATACATTCAGGTCCTCTGATTTCCATAATGACAATTGTTTCAAAAAGTAGGAACACCACAATAAAACTTATAACTTACATCTTATACCTTTGTTTATATACAAACTAGGTTGATATAAAAACTGGATTCATGTCAGGCACAAACAGACCCTCATGTCTGATTGTCTAGCTACCTTACTGTTCTATGCCTATTTCAGGGGAATCTCCCCAGATTGGCAGCTTTCACCTGGGAAAGACTAGATAAGATTCAAGCAAAATCAACAAGTCACCATGTGATTCACTCAACAGCGGCAGCATTTTCTTAACAGTCATGGCAAAAAAAGGGTCATAAAATCAGGTTCGACTCACTTAACCATCTTGCTTAGCAATGGAAATTCTAGTCCCAATTGTGGTTGTAAATTGAAGATTACCTGGTAGGAGGATTTAAATTAAATGGTTATGCTCATTTTGCTGCTTCTCACTCAGATTTTTTTGCTCTTTCAGGGGGATGATTCAGTTGATGTGACAGCTAAACCAAAGAGAAGTTTTTATGCTGCAAGAGACTTATATAAATATCGTCATCAATATCCAGTAAGAACATTTTGTATTCTGGGAGCTTTTATTAAAATAAAGCAATATTAAACTTAAGTCCCATTGCAGTTCCGTGGGAGACTCTTAATTTTTTAGAAAAAATTATAGTGGCCTTGGAAAATGGATAATGGGAGATATTGGTGAATTTTGCCGGCTCCCATAATTGCCATTTTGATAGATGTTATTAAAATACAACTATATTTGATTTTAAATGTTTATTAATTAATTGTTTTTCTTAATGATACCTGTATAGAGAACTCAACTGGAGAACAGTTAAAATTTCTTAGGTTTTGTATTACAAAAGTTTACTATAGCTTCCATGTCGATTAAAAAAAAGGTTTGTTGCAGAAAAGCCCAAGATTTAAAATTAAGAAATGAAATGAACTATATAACATAGGCCTTAAAGTGCAATTACAAATTTGCCTCTGTTACATATCATATGGAAATACAAAAAAGGACAAACTAAAAAAAAAAAGCTGAAAAGAGCTCGTAATCACTTTACCATTTATTTTAGGTATCAGCTTTTTGAAATATATGCTTACTTGAAAACAAGCTTTTTTTAACTTCAGTGGTTTTCTTTATTCTCTGAACATGTTTAACATTGATTGATTGATTATGTGTCATCATGTTGTTTTCAACTCCTAGCAACCACATAGATATACTCTTATGTTTCTGAGATTGTTTAAGAGATTGTATTTAAAGCTGAACAGGGCAATTTTACACTAAAAGTGACTATTCAAAAATCAGTCTTGCTCAACTCAGTGAGACTCACTTCTAAATAAGGGACTATAGGATGATAGCCTAATAACTCATACTATATTCTAAGATTAATACTAGACCAACAATCAAGCAGTAAATACCCTGATCAACACCCTATATCAAAAGCATACCCACCAACAGAGAGGACATGCTACAAGCATATAAATGGAAAGCAAGTCCCTCTCCCTTCTAGCACTATAAGAAAATAACCAAGCTCAGAGAGCACCAAGGAACCCACAGTTCAACCCTGAACCACAAATATTTGTTCTATTAGTAACTCATATTATACATTTACTATTACTATATTGTATTGGTTTATCTATGATATCTCTGTGATATCGATAAATTTCCTAAAATGTTTAATCCATTTTACCTTGTTACATTTTATCCATCTATCTTGTTTCTAGACTAGTCTAGCAAAATTGTATTTTGGATTATGTAAAACCATGCCTGTAATAATTTCAGTTCAAGATTATTTCTTATGGAGTATTTTTGCATTTGTTTTCCTTTCTGCTCAGCAGAACTTTAAAGAACTGAGATACCAGAATGATTTGTGCAACCTCCGCTTTTATAAGAACAAAATTCCCTTTAAACCTGATGGTAAGTAATCAGTACCATGATCAATGTATCTTTTATACATAGTTCATTTTCAGATCTATATAAATCAGATGGCCCAAAGTAGTTCCACTTTGCATTTAACTTTATAGCTCTATCTTGTGCATATTGACATAGAAGTAAGACATACTAAGTTGAGTTTATTTCTCCTTCACCTTGTTTGCCAGGGTTCTCATCATGATTTTCTCCCCCGAAATAGATCCTTGAGGCATTACCCTGAGTTTAAGACTTAGAACATCAATGTATGTGTCTGCAGTGAGGATTTGATGTCCTACTTAATGGAGGAAAGAGATCGAAAATCCTTCCAGTGTGATTCAGCTTAGGTTCTCTAGAAGTCTCAGGAAATTTCCTGCCCTTTTGAAGGTTTTTGTGACACCATGATTCTGAAGTTAGCTTTGTATCACTGACAGTCTATGTACTTAGAATCATATAATCATAGAAGGTGGAAGAGACCTTAGAGGTCTTCAACCGGTAAAGAAAGGCAAAGGACTTACTGTTTGATCTTTGGCAACAGTTAACCTCATATATTTCCTTATCCTTCAACCATTGAAAAAATGTATTCCTTTTAGCAATAAGTACTAATCTAAAAAATTGCTTTTTTTAGATTTTTACTTTGACTTATATTTACACTTCATTCCTGAATGGTATTTAGAAAGTTATGTTCCTTGGTATATTTATAGGGGTTTATATTGAAGAGGTCCTGAATAAATGGAAAGGAGATTATGAAAAGTTGGAACACAATCACACTTACATACAATGGTTAGTATCTTTTATTTTTTTAATTTCTTTTTAGTAAACTAAAGTTAACTAGTTTACTTTAGTTAAAATTTAACTAAAGTTAAAGCCATTTCAGTTTCAGAAAAATGTGTACATCTGTTTTGAATGTAGGTTGTTTCCACTCAGAGAGCAAGGACTGAATTTCTATGCAAAAGAATTAACAACCTGTGAAATTGAGGTAAGGCATCTAATTCATAATGTAATGCTAATACTTAAACATTTAAACTAGAATCATTTTGTATATTTAATGCTCTTGATGTTTGTGCATTCTTGTAAAAAAATCTGTTACAGGAGTTCAAAAAAACAAAAGAAGCGATTCGAAGATTCCTGTTAGCTTACAAAATGATGCTGGAGTTTTTCGGGATAAAATTAATTGATAAAACGGGGAATGTAGCACGAGCTGCTAACTGGCAAGAAAGATTCCAACACTTGAATGAGTAAGTTACGTCTTCAGGAAATGCTTGAGAACTGAAAACCAGACAATTCTTTCCAGATTTGTTTTTCTAAGCAGTTACCATTTTTTGCTTCCCTCTTGGTCATAAGTTGTGATGGTTGTAAAATAGGGTGGTCATGTGATCAACTCAATTTTACTTTTTTGTGGTGGTTATTAAGCAAACCACTGATTCACTATGGACACAGTTTTGCTGAAAACTGGATGTAAGTGCTGAATTTTTGGCAAAAATGTAGTAATGTGACTGGAATGCTACAAATGAACATAAATGTGGACATGTTACTTAATGACCAAAATTTGGTCACTTGACCATGGGGGTAACACAACTCTTCAAACTTCAAATCCAGGTTGCAAGTAGCTCCAACGTTAGAACTTTAAAAAGTTGTAAGTCAAGGAATACATGTATGAAGATGCTCAATTATATCAAAGGCAGGAGAAGTATACATAATAGGCAAGATTTATCTTGTTTCCACACCTTTTTTTCTGAATCCAATATACTTCTTTTCATTTAGTAACATTCACTCACACATTAAAAAAGAGATAAAGTAGAAAGAAAGATGTAATATCAGTTTTATAAAGATGTAGAACACAATAAATATAGCACTGATATATATTATATATCTGTATGAGAATAGAAAGGCACTTCTGGGAAACATGGGACTATTTCCATAATGGAGTCATTTATTGATAATGATATTTGGCTTGAACAGTGATGTCGTTATTATAACCTTTGCTTGTCTATGCATCATTGGCTGTTCCTAAGATAAAGAAATGTTGGAAGGCAGGTTCAAAAGGTGATAACCTTTCAGACGGAATGCATGAATCAATTGTGCTAATTTTCTCCACATTCTTTTAGGAAGAATAAAGTCAAGTGTTGTCCTTGACTCAGCAGTAGCATAAAAATTAGAAGGAATAAACTATTTGTCAGCTAAATGTTACAAAACCTGGACCTCACCTGCTTCTATCTATACACTTTATTGTTTAACTTCTGTATTCATACCATAGTCATGGCCTTCACTGAGCTACATTTTTGTCTTCCAGCTCTTGCCTAATGATCAATTTCTATTCTTATTTACAAGAAACAATAATGTAGATCATGCGGCCATCCCAATTATGACACATACTAGCTCTATAGATGCTTAGCAGCACTGGTGACATTCGGCTTTAGGATATCACTTGAAATCAACTATTCAAAAATAAGTTTTGGTCTCAATTAATAATTAATAATAGAGCATTTACCAAATTAAGGACTTGGGGTTTTTTTTTAGACAAGTTTTATTAAATTTTTCTTTTACATACATATTTTATGAACAGAGTATTGACCGGGTCACATCTTTTACAACTTATAACATAATTATATATTGATTTTAATAATCTATTCCAATCTTTTTTGTTTTTTCCAGATACAATTTACATATTTCATTTTCTGCTGTAATATTTTTTTTATCTATTTTTTCTCTTATCTTAATCTCTTCTTAATACTTAATATATAAACAGTATCACCATCCACCCTTCAAATCCTAATTTCTTAGCATTACTTCAATTAATTATCTTATTTCTCCATTTATAAAATATAAAATTAAGGACTTGGTATGTTACTATTTAAGCATTCATTTCTAACTTTTCACTGTTGGAATAATCAATTACATGAATGCTGAATAAGAACCCCCCCACCCAGACCCCTAGTGGGATTCTTAAATATACAAACCATCAAATCAATAATTGCATTCGTGCAGCCATTAAATTATATAAGTCCAAGATTGTGGGCTTGCTGATATATGGTGCCCAAGTATGGGTTTACCCCTCTCTCTTGGGAGCTATTCAGTCTAGACTTCTAAAACTGTTCTTTGTGTTCCTCTCTCAACCTGAAAAGCTCTTACATGGTATGTATGTATCTCACTTGGAGCCTGCTTAAGAAAATGCCATGTCAGTTTCTCATTGAAAATAATGTTATACAGAGAGCATCTGTAAGCAGGCACCCTGACTCTGATTTGGTATATTGTATATCATTCTTTGGACCATCAAGGTTTTGATTATGGAGAATTTGGCATTTAGGTCTTCAAAATGACAGAGCTACATTTACTCATTTTCATTATCATGCAATTGCTGATCCCTCTTGGACAATCCTTAGATATTTTTATAACATCTTACGTGTTCCTCACAGGAGCAGGTTTTTTTTATATTGGCCTAAATTGATGCATTGCTTATTAGGCAGATATATTAGTCTTCCGTATGATAACCATATTTGTGTATGTTCAGACACAGAGGTTGAGTCACTGACTTATATTCTTTAAATTGTCTGTTCAGTCACTCATAGCATATGGCAAAAACCTGATTGTCAGAAATCTTAGTCATTTGACTAATAGCTTTCTGATTTCCCTCTGCAAGACCAACTATAGCAACCACTAAAAAGATTGCCAACTTTTTAACAATAGCCATAGCTTGCAAAAATTCACCTGATATTCCCTTTTTAGTACTAATTGTTTCAGATCCGATTTATCATGTGGTTCCGAGTTCTCTTTTTGTTGTTTATTGGTCTCTGACCATCAATCAATCAGAGAAGAGGAATGCTACTTTTGTCAGATTTATATTCCATAACGTATAACAGATGATTGCAATTTATATAGAAGACCTTTCATCTGATACTTGACATCCAATCTTTCTTTTATCAAGGGTACAAGTAGTGATGATTTTTCAACTACATTTTGAGATTTTGAATTCGATGTATCTCTCTTTGCAGATCCCAACATAATTATCTGAGAATCACCCGGATTCTGAAGAGTCTTGGTGAACTTGGTTATGAGAGTTTCAAGCCTCCTCTTGTGAAATTGATTCTACATGAAGCTCTGGTGGAAGACACCATTCCCAACATTAAACAGAGCGCTCTGGAATATTTTGTGTATACCATTAGAGATCGAAGAGAGAGGAGAAAACTTCTACGGTTTGCTCAACAGCACTACACACCTTCTGACCATTTCATATGGGGGCCACCTAGGAAACAGAAGTCGGAAGAAAGCAAACCAAGTAAAAAGCTGGCTTCACCAGTGTCCCTTCGCAACAGCTCTACTTGTAAACACAAAAAGACAAAAGATCTCAAGAACGTATCTGAAATTTGTAACTCGAGGAATAAAACAAATGATGAGAAAAAGACAGAGCATATTAAAAATGGTACAGATAGTGATCAGAGTAAGAAAAGCAGCTCCCCTGAAGTTGTTAAGCAGAGCAGTATGGTAAAAAATAGTAGTGCTGAATGTCACAACTCTAAAATGGACATAGTTGAGCCTTTGAATCAGAAGGAGACTATTTCTCATTTAAAAAAACATAAAGGCAAAAACAAGGAAAACGTTAGCCAAGACTGTAAACATTTGGAAGATATAGAAAAAGATTCATGTGAGACTAAAAACGATTCTACAAATATATCATCAGATATGCAAGACAATATATGTAAGGATAAAAACCTGGCGAGCTCATCTGTAAGAAATAAAGAGTGAAAACTTCTACTGCATATGGCAACATGGTTTTTCGCTTGTAGAAAATTGTTAAGGAACAAGAGGTCTTTGGTACTGGATCCAGTGCTGGCTACATCAGCTTAGCCTCGGTGGGGTTGTGGCTTCTTTAATTTGTTTAAGGTTTGTACTTCTCCCAGCTGTGTATTAAGCTTACAAACTGCGTATTGCTTAAGTCTAAGGGGAAAAAAACTTCCTTTAAATCTGTTTTCTATGCATAAAAATCTAACGATTTTTATTGTGTATTTTATTTAAACACTTTTAATTAATTTTAAGGTTTTGTTTTTCAAAATATGGCTGCGAGATAAGACTTCCAAGGAGCCAAAGTTAGTGTCTCTTCAGCAGATAACTATGCTAATGTTTATAGAGTGCCTACCACTGCTTAAAAATTGGAATTTAGCTGTATTCTTATTTAACACAGAAAGTGGACCTCAGAGACTTGAGCTAAAGTCAAGCACAGCCTTGAATCACACCGGGCAAACTACATTAATTCAGCTTCTTTTCAAGCTTGACTATAAGGACCCGTAATTAATTTCCCTAGGTTATTATGAGAAAATACAGCAAAGTAGCAAATTGCTACCATTTGCATACCAGCCTCCCAACATACTCTTTCAGTTTTGTTATTGCCATTTCTCTTGATATCTCCTCTAATACAGTGTACTGAATAAAGCGTTGGAAAAATAGGATTCAGAACTGTTAAGAGAGTACAGTATTTAAATGTTTTAAAATAAGTATTAAAACCTGGCTCAGGTATGATATTCCAAATGAAAGGTTGGGCAGGGAATCCTCATTTATCCTAATGATACATCAGCAAAATTCTTGCGAATGTAAAATGAGATAAAAATGTATTCTGCTTGCATGTTTCCTTCTTTCCATTATTTATTATCTCACTTCATCCCCCTTCCATTTTTTTTGTTGTTCTTCGCATGGAGTTGCATACCTCTGAGAATGAAGGTAAGCATTTCGTCCATGTTTACTTCAGTATCTGGAGCAATTACTGGTAGGAGGGAATCATTCGACTTGAGGGGTTTCATTCCTATGGATAAAGTCTTTCACGTAAAACACAGGAAAATTTAAACATTGCAAAGACCAAAAAAAAATAAATAAATGTGTATCCGGCTTTTCTAGGGCAGAGAAACACTATTTTAAATATGACCTTCCTATAATTTCAGAACGGATTTAAAAAGCCCTTTACAGATAGGAGCTTTCATCTTATTTTTCTCCCAGCCTTCGTGAAAATTCCTACCAATAATTTCACTGTGGGAATCTACTGAAGGAAAACCTTCTAACTTGCAGGGGTAAAATTCAAAATTTCCCCCCACCAGTTCTGTGGGTGTGGCAGGGGAAGGATATTGCAAAATCTCCATTCCTACCCCACTCTGGGGCCAGCCAGAGGTGGTATTTGTCGGTTCTCCAAATAGCAATTGGTTGGATTTACAGTGGTTCACTTCAGCGTCCCAGGATCATATGAACTCCCATTTGCGACCTTCCCAGCCAGTTTCCAACAAGCAAAGACAAAAGGGAAAAGCTGTCTTTGCTTAATGTCCGCATGATTCATTTTAACAACCGCAGTGATTTGGTTAGCAGGCATGGCAAAAAAGGTTGTAAAGTTGGACATGACTCACTTAAAAACTATCCTGCTTAGCAATGGGAATTCTGATCGTATATCGAGAACTAACTGTAAAGTAAGAGGGGAAGGAGTAGTAATATCGGTGGTGGTTGAGAGATAAACAGTACATAGGTTGTCCTACCCACCTATCCCATGTGGTTTTTGTCTTAAACCAGGTGCTCCAAGTCATCCCTGTAGTGTGGCCATGGAAAAGAGGATTAAACATGTCCCCATGCTGACTGTACTGTCAGGGCCCATTCTACATACTTCTTCCTGATTATTTTTTTCTTATTTTTACTCTTTCTGACCCTCACGCTCAGATGGCAGCAGTGGTGAAATCCATTTTTTAAAAATACCGGTTCTGTGGGCGTGGTGTGGCTTGGTTGGCGTGGCTTAGTGGGCGTCCCCATTCCCACCCGACTCCTGGGAGAAGGATACTGCAAAATCCCCATTCCCAATTTTTGCAGTTTCTCCGAACTGCTCAAAATTTCCGCTACTGGTTCTCCAGAACCTGTCAGAACCTGCTGGATTTCACCCCTGGATTGCAGCTATGTAGTATAAAATGGACATAAAGACCCTGACTGCAGTTAAAAAATCAGGAAGTGATAGTTGCTTATTGAAGTGAGACTTATTGCCTGACTGGTAATCTGCTGCTGGTTTATAGAAGTTCAGAAAAAAGTAGCGTTAGCTTGGGTTAACTGTGCAATGCAAACTGAAACCCATAATCTAGTAGAAAAAGTAAATAGGCTCCCAGGTAATAGGAATATTTTCCCTCACTCCAGAAATTTCTGCTTTTGGCACCATCTTCTGTTAAAATAATTTGAATGCAGCTTTTAGAAAACTTCAACTGTCCAGCGTGTTGTCAATTACTGGAATTCAGTGAACAGCAACATGCACCAACAAAGATTTCGTGGGCCTGTGCTGAGAATACTTGCATATCTTTTGTTGATGCACAGAAACAAAAAAATAATTGCAAATAAAGCTTTTGTGTATTTGTTGCTCCCATCCTACCAGCACTGACTGCTGTATGCCAACTGTGATTGGGTAGTCTCCTGTCTGCAAGCTTGCAGGATACATGCATTAAAGTATAACAGTGTTGGATCCCTGTTTCTTAAGATTTTCGTTAAATATAAGCAATGCTGCCTTTTTGAAATGTGCAAATTTTTAAAAAACATACAGATTGAATTTTGTCGTCTTAATGTCAAAAGTATAATTAAAACTGTATTCCTGTATTTGGATCGGCCTTAGTAGATGTTTTTCAAGCATATGGCACGGAGGTGGGGAATTGGTACAAATTCTGCTTTGATAGTGATCCTTTTAGATTATATACATGTGGCTGAGGAGCTTGCCAAGCATGTATACCACGAAGCAGCTTGCAGACTTCTTTTTTTGGGGGGGGGGGGTGATAGTGAAACAAAAAAAAACTATGAATGTTTCATACTCTGTCACTTCTTGGCTGCCTTTCAATGCTGGCATGCAGCAATCTCTAGCAACAACAAGCCTCTAAAATGGCAGCACAATACAAGGTTCCTTAACTAAAGGAATATTAGAAGTTATTTTGTAATCAAACATTACATCCCCCTCTCTTTCTTTTACATACACCCACACTCCTACCCATTCACAAAACAGAAATGATGCAATTTCATTTTCAATCTTTGCTGGCTCAGTATTGTGATTCAAACTCAGGCTTCAAACATTGATTTTTAAGCTTTAGAATCTTAGCTGTTTCCCCTTTATTTCTGGAGGCAGGTTTCTCCTGCATAGTTCCCTCATCAATTAAGATCAGACCAGCTTGTGATTCTAATGGTGCTGCTGCTGCAGCAGGCAGAAACTTTCCTTGATGGTGATTGCACCTACGCTTCTGCATGTTGTATCTGAATGACATATCTATTCTGGGCACAGGGATGGAAATTGCAAAGCCTTTATTCTCATTAAATGCTGCTTTGATTTCTTTTGTATTTGATATTGAGAATTCAGTATGTTTACATTTCGTATTTAAGTAGCTTCATTTTGTTTATTTGCAACAACCACTGTCATTAAAGGAGAGAAGTTTAAATAGAGGTGAGAGTTAATTGGGGGAGAAATGCAATTGGTTACAGTAGAGAGATCTGCATTCAAAATAACTACGCCAACAACATGAGCTTGTCTGACCCCTTGCTTTAAATGCAATGATCAGAACACAATTTCCCTTTTTAAAAAAAAATCAAGTAGTATTTATGTGCTTGGTGGGTACATTTTCTTCTGCCAGCACCTCATATACATCCTGGTGGAAGTTGAGACTTTGGCAGGGTTCAAAAATCAGAAAATCCCCAAAGAGGAGCATGACACTTCAAGGGCATAATGATTTTCCTTTAGTACTGGAATATTCAAGTTTCAACTACTAGATATGAATTTTGCCATTTAATAATAATACAGTTCAGTGTGTAATAAGTAGAGGTATGCATCACACACACATGCACATAGAGCTTTGCTTTTAACTCATAGTATTTTGGGAGTTTTGCCAAATGGTTCTTGGTAGACTGGTTTGGGAGAACCAAAACTCAGAACATTTTGATTCTTCCAGGTTTCAATCAATTACAATCTGGAGGGTTCTTATGAGGTGAGTCAGGCAAAATTAATGAATCCCACCTCTCCTCTTTCCTCCTCCATCCCTCCCCCTCCCCCTCCTTGACTTCTTTATTGTCTTACCGTGTTTCCCCGAAAATAAGACCCCATCTTATATTTTTTGGAACCCCAAAATAAGCGCTTGGCCTTATTTTCGGGGAGGTCTTATTATTTGGGGGCGCATGGAGCAAGAATGGGCTGCTCTTGCCATCTTACCTGATTTCCAGCTCTGCGTTTAAATAAGCAGAGCTTATTTTCAGGGGGAGGCTTATTTTAGCGCATGCACTCAAAAACCTGATTGGGCTTATTATCAGGGGATGTCTTATTTTCAAGGAAACACGGTATATGTTAGCCCAGTGGCCCCCAACCTTTTGGGCACCAGGGACCAGTTCTGTAGAAGTTTTTCTGTGGACAGAAGGGGTGTGATTTCGCGTGCTGCCTGCATCCCTTGCTTGCACAGCCCAGTTTTTGCCATGCCATGGCCTAGGGCTGGTCCATGGATCGGAGGTTGGAGACTCCTATGCTAGCCCAATGCTGATTTTCCCAGCACCTTCCTTTCTCTACCTCCCCTTACCTGCTGCCTGGGCTCTTTCCTGTCTCCCTGCCCAAACACTGATCCACCTGCAACTGGCTGTTCCATGTTGGAACCAGTCACACTTTCCCAGTAATAAGTTGTCTCGCAGCTCCTACTATGGTACGATGAACTACCATTATAAAAGCACATCTTGTTCATTAAAAAGGATACTGCTTTTATTGAAACTGAGAGTATGCTTTGTTCATAGGAACAAAGAAGAAGCAGACTCTTTGGTTTAAATTAATTTGGTCTGAATAACATAATAAGTACTGTTTAACAACTTTAGAAATAGTTTAATTTTAGGTTTTGGACTCTTGCATTATACATTGTACAGCATGTTGCAGTCAGCAAACATGCCCGTAGATGTGTTTTTGCCACACGTGTTAAAGACAAAGTCCCACTGACAACAGAAAGACCTAGTTCTGAGTAAACAATAAAACACAGTTGGTTAGATATTCAAGATGTGGAAATCATGTTTTGCTCAAAGTCTTGCTATTTAGAAACAAAGAAAAGCCAATGTCATTTGTGTTGTGGTGTTCTCTCTAATCCAAATCATATATATTTGGCTTTGTTTTTTGTTTTTAAAAAGGTTGCTGTCTTTGAGTTTTATCTCTTGTGGTTTTGCTATATCTCTGTACAATGTTCAGGATTCAAGTAATGTTCCATTCTCCTGAGTTTATTTGCGCAAAGCTGAAGTCCTTCCTGTATGAACGATATAACACAATCATGTTCTGTAGAAAAAACATCATGCTATCAATAACACCACTGAGCACTTTTCTGTTTATACGAAATGATGCCTTTTCATCATCTTTACGGTTTTAATAAAAACAACAATCCAACTTTTTATATTGGATTTACTTTAGGCAATTTTTGAACTTCCTTACCCCATAAATTCTTATTCCAAATGCACTTTATATAGATTTAGGGATTTTTATTAGAGCAATTCTGAGCTAAGAGTTTTGTATCAATCCCAAAGGAGATTGAAACACATTTTAATAAAGCTCAACAATAGCTTTATGGACACACAACACATTTTAATACTGCATTTGATGATACCCTATTAGGCCACAAT